TTATCTTTTCAATTTGCTAAGATATTGCTCAAGTAATAAATCAAACACAGTGGCACTCTGCCCACCTCTTTTCATTTTTGGAAACTTTTGTATACACTTACTTCGATATATATACGTCGGGGAATAACCAACTGGAAGCTCAGTATTCCCCCTAGTGGCTTTCTCGGCCATTTTAATGGGCTTGGTGCCATTACTTTCTTTTGAACCAATATTTCAACGAGGTAGGATGTGTCTAGTCTGCTCAAAATTTCATATTTCTCTTAGACTAAAATACATCTTAATTATTAAGCTTGATAAATTATAGTGGAATTCTATGGTATTAATATAGTAATTTATAATTTTTTAGTTATTCAAATGTATATATATAAAACCTGAAAAAATAATTTGTTTCATATCCTCCACGTGCAAATTTTTAAAAGCTTAGCAACCTATGTCAAGCAGCAACCAAGTACAAAGGTCATAACTAGAATAGATAATTGTTTGCTTTACTTCTTTAGTTACTGTTCTATGTTTAAAGAAAAATAAGTTTAAGAAATTATTTAAAAATAGCAATAATCTATATAAATATATAATGTATAATAATTGAAATGTAACTGTATTTTACAAAATACTAGTCTACTAAAACACAGCCAAGACAGGTCACTTTGTAAAGACTAAAGGTCAGTTTTATATTATTGGATACAGTAACATGAGTGCACATGAGCTGTGTCATTGTAACTTCTGTACTGTTAGCCAGGCATGGCTGAAAGGTCAATGTAATAAAAATAATAAATATATATAAATGTATAATGTTATGAGATTTAAGCTATTTTGCCTAAACATTTATGTTTTTGTGTTGTAATTTGTAGTAGAACAAGTTTTCTAGAACAAAAAAGGCATAACTTATATTTATTTCCTAATTTTTTTTAACGTGGTTATGAGATTGGTCAAATCAACCAAACTCATACAGAGATTCATTACTGAAAATAACAGATAAAATATAGTTTTTTCTTAAGAAGTGTTTCATAACTATCTGGACATTATAAAGATTTTGCATCTGAAATTTTCTGTTACACAAAAGTATTTTTAACCTTAAAATGAAGATTACTTAGCATTTTGGATAGGCAATATGTGAAAAGAAAAAAGGCGTGAGAAAAACAGTGCTTTACAAATCTTAAGACTTAATCAAAAAATTTGATATTTTGCATTTAAAAACATTGTAAGGTTTACTGATAATCTGCCCAATTTCGTTAACATACGCTTGTTAATTTAAAAGTTATAGCATGAAAACTGTAACAAGCACAAAATGGTTATGAGGTCACTCCCAGGGACCAAGCCCATGTTGAAAGAATTAATTAAACAAATATTTCATGAAGAAAAACCTACAAGTGATCTTGTGGAACACCCCATCTCAAAAGTGAGCATTTTATGGCACCACTCACCACAGAGAGGGATGCATACATGTAGTTCACATGCCCCATTGAAGAATTTCCTCCAAGATACAATGGAGATGAAACACCAGGGAAAAGGTAAAGTGCCTGATCTCATGAGAAGACATCTGGAAAAAATTATGGGAAGAATAAGACAAAGAAGATAAAGCCAAATGAATTAAAAGCCAAACCCAACTGGTCAGGGTGGAAGGCAAAAGGTCACATACAGAGGATATCTGCCAAGGAATGAATAAGCAGGAACAGGCACAATGGAGGGAAGCCATGCAGGCAATATAACAACGAAGAGCACATACGGGACATAGTAGCCTATCCGGATACGACTGAGGATACAGATGGGAAATGGAAGGAAGGGAAGTCACTTTCATGAGCCATCAAAGTTTTGCGAAGGAAAGATCAATCTGGATAAAGGAGAATATATAGGGAATGATATGGAGTATGAGAAAAAGTCAATGGCAAATAAATTCGACCTATGATATCCAAAGGCCAAAAGGAGAAGGAAATAAGGGATAAGTGAAAAATCGAGCACGAGGACAGAGGTTGAAATAGAGGCAAAGTAAGGCAGTGAAGAACCACATAGACATCACAATTCGGAAGGACTGCACACTGAAGTGGATGATGAATCTGGAAGGAATGCAACAATAGTGAAAGGGTAGGAGAGATAAAACTTTATGGTACCTGGAAAACGAAAAGTGTGGGATAAGGAAGCCCAATAACCCACAATTGGGAAGACAGGAAATCCCAGATCAAACATCAAAGTGAGGATATCTGTAAGATGAGACACAGTGGGGCGAGCAGGGGAAAATCCTTGACTCAAAGACCAGTGGCAGAAAACATTCCAATGACACTGATAAACATCCCTAGAGGAAGGATGAATGGAACAAGCTAAAAAAAAGTGACCCACTAGGACAAACTGTATCTCCACACCAGGGACTGGATACAAACCAGGCATGAAGATAGAGGATATGAAGGGCTGGATGAAATGCTGGTGACTGAGGTTGATATAGAAGGGAAGGAGTAAGAGAAAATGGTTATGGAGAGGGCAAATTGTAGCTGGAGCAACCACAGCAACCAATGTAAGTAAGGAGCAGTCAGGACTTGACACAGAGTGACATGGATGATCAAAATCACCTTGGGAAGAAGACAGACTGGAGGCTAAACATATAGGTATTTGTTGGTCCAATCTTGACTGAATGCATCATCAGCCAGAGCAAGTGGATGAAAAACCAGAAACCAAAACATAGGTAACCTGGTATTGATGGATATGGCAAATGCATCTAGGTGATGTGTACCCCACTGAAATTGTAGCTGTTAGATAAACTTTGTTGGGATGGGAAAGATTATCCACAACAAGATTGTATGCACCTGGAACATGGCATGCAAGGAGACAAATACTGAGCATGTGGGCCCAAAAATGAAGATCCAAGGTTTGATCACAAAGGAAATGAGATCCAGTAGAATTGTCAGAATGAATCAAGAAAATGATCCAGAGCATGAGGTATGGCCAGAAGCTCCAGGATGTTGATATGGTAAGATCTTTTGGCTGGAGCACACCAACCTAAAACTTCCTGATGATCGACCCATCGGCACCCACAGCCCTGAAGGGAAGCATCTCTGAAGATATGAAAATCTGGATGAGGGGAAGGAAGCAGAACACCCACTGACATGTGAGCCCTGTCCAACCACCAGTGCAAATCACCAATGGATCCCATACAAGGTTCCACTGGTCATGCAGAGTCCACTGAAGAGACCTCATATATACTCGACCCAAGGGGACAAGGGCTTTCAAAGAACATCACATCCCCAAAAGTGATAGGACCTCTTGAGCTTTAAGAGAGGGAACAGTAAGGGCATGAAGAACTGAAAGCTCCATTGAACAAAGTTGAAGAGGAGAAGGTTGGGCCAGACTGAGATGAGTGTTGAAAAAGACACGCAAGTGGCCAAGATATTGGGTAGGTATAAGAAATGACTTCTCCAATGTGATTAAGAGCTGTCTCCAGGAGCATTAGATTGGTGTGATGAGCAGACTCCCATTCAGTACAACCTAACAGAAGCCAGTCGTCCATGTAATGATGTAAGCGCAACCCCAAGCATGCAAATGTCAGGCAAAAGTCATGAACACCCAACAAAAGGCATATTGGGCCGAAGCAATCCTGAAGATGAGATATTGGAACATGCAGATAAGCATTTGTGACATATACCTTGGTCATCCACAAACCTGGAGAAAAAACCCACTTGAGAGCAAGAAATGACTATGGTAAATTGAGTAGAACCAAAAACTGATTTAGGCGGGGCAAACTGATCACAGGCCACCAGTTCCCAGTTTTCTTGGGTACTAGAAACAGCCTGGAATAAAAAACCTCGAGAAAGATGAGGACAGGTTCGCTGGCATTCTGTGAGAGAATATCTTGTACTGCCTCAGACAGATGTTGACTGGTAGTAGCATCCCGAGGCAATGGAAAGGATACAAGTACCTGAGACAGTGAAGGAGGGGAAAGGAAGTGGATGACAAGTCCCTTGAATAATATTAGAATAACTCACATATATGTGGCAAAAAAGCCACCAAAGGGGAACAAAATTGGTCAAGTGAGCCCCACTGGACCAGAACCTACTGAGTAGTCACCGGTACTGTTGGAAACGTGTCCATCTGCATCGAATAATTCGCTGAGAGGAGAAACCCTGGAGACAGGAATAGGTAGTGGCTCAAAAGGAGCAGGACAGGAAACAGTAATAGGGGCTTGTCTAGGCTCTGAATGAGACAAATGATCCACCAAAGAAGAAAAGGTCATTTGTTGTCTCACCAATTCCAAAACGGGATAATAAAGTCTCAGGAATACTACCGAAAGTATACTGCTGTAGAAAAGGGGTCATATGTAAGTCCCGGAGATAAGGTAGCAGTAACCAAAGTTGTGACCAAACAGCATCCATCCCCAGGAGATCCCAACAACAGAAAAAACACGTGTGTAAGGAAAGAACCAAAGAAGACAAACGTGCCAATGTGGAGGTAATCAGGAAGAAGCTATCCCTTGTGAAATCCTCAGGACCATTGGGTGTGGGATATACGAACAGGATGATCATCGGTCCCCCCCCCCACCCACCACACACACACAGGCAAAATCAATTCCAACTGTTGAGAATCGAGAAACAGAGATTCAGCCTGAAGTTAGGTCAAAGCAAACTGATCCAAAGCCCATGGAGGGCGAGGCATCCTAGCATTATCAACCATCTGAGAAACAAAATGCTCTGCAAGAACCCTAATATTTGGGGAAGAGGGAAAACCAAATACTGTGGGAAGGGGCTATCATGTAACAAGAAAGGGAGGGAGGGGATCATATGAAATCGGGGAAATGGATAAAAACAGAACATACCTAAGAAATCATGTCGAAAAAAGCCATATTGGCCTAGCTGATTCCGCAGTAGGGGTATAGGAAGACACAGCAAAATCAGGTGGAGGAAAAAGTGTGTCAAAATCCTTGTCGACCTAAACAGGTTCGGCATGTTCAATAGAAATAGGAGCAACATCAGGAGAAGCAGGTTGACTCATATAACAATCAATCTCACGGCAGATGAGAGCCAATATGTCCATAAATGAGTTACCCCCACCTGTAGCCTGTGTGAGTGTGCTTGTAGAAGGTATTACTTCCAAAGTGGTAACTTGTACTTCTGAATTCAATGTGTTACAAAGAATAATCATACATAAATGTTTGATGGAAAAAACTGAAAACTGGGTAAAATACGTTATCAAGAAAATTTGTGAACATTCGAAAAAACAAAACCACTTTGGTATGAATATAAAACAAATGCACTAAGTTGAATGAAGAAACACGATAGAAAAGCACAAAAAAGGTGTCATGACACAAGTACTGCCAAACAATAAGTGATAGTTTGTTAGAATAGTATAGATGGAGTCACGTGCATCAGGTGAGTATGTCACACTCCTATTGGTGGATGGTTGTCACACCATCATTTACATACAAGATGCAGTTGAACCATTTGATGGTAAGGTACATGGGCACTCAAGGCTTGTGGCATGTGAAGAAATGTTTTTGCATATAGAGGGAAGCAATGAAGGAGAATAGCTATTCATGTGAACAGAGGTAACGTACCGTATCAGAGACTACTTTGTTTTAAAAAATTCAATTTTATTATAACCTCGAACAGTTTATTACTTGAAACCAGTTTATTTGGGAAAAAAATTTCATGGTAATGTTTTATGATTTGCTATTTACTTATTTCAAATAACTTCTAAAACACCAAGCTAAGTTTTCATTATATTTTCACAGCTTTAAATAAAAAACAGGTGAATATAAAAGGTTTTTCAGAGAAAGTTTTTTGAACACAGTAAATATTGAAGACTAAAAGCTTTGTGAAAAAACTTTAGCAAAAAACAACCAATAACCAAATATTTTCTGAATATATCAACTTCACAACATAAGCTTTTACAGAACACAATTCTGTAACTGAGTATCATTCTGCATGTTACCAAAAAATCTGTTCCTCACAATATTATCTTCAGGATATTCAGCTTCTTTCTCCTTATTTGGTATATAGTAGGTCATACAAAAGCTTTGAAAATATTTTCCAATCATTGGGTGTTGTATACTTCTTGGAAAATCAGCAATCTTGAGATTTTCTACAACAAAGAAAATTTTTTTTCATATACATTAGAAATCATATACACTTCCCTCTTCAACCATGCTGTTCTGAACATTAAATACTGGTACTATAGAAATATTTTAACCTTATTCAATCAGATTGCATGTGGAAGAGTATTGGTAATCCTTGTTTTTTCTGGTTGTGTATATTTGTCCCAGGAAAATTTTAAACCTAGCTCTCTGACATGTAAGACTTCAAACCTAGAAGAGCTAGTTATAGTAGAAATGTAGCCATAAGAGTCTCAAGGAGCTAAAAACAGCAGGAATGTAAATTCTGAGAAGCTAAGACTATTGAGTATGTTTTTCATGTTTTCTTACATATAAACCATATATAGACATTAATATCTTGTTTAAATACAAAAACTTTTACTTAGGAAAAAAAAAACACAATAGCATGTGGAGGAATAAAATTCCAGACTAAGTATAATAATAGCTTTATGCAATGCTATCACTATATTTCAGTTCATATGTGTTACAAAATAAAAACTATATGAATCATTGTCTGCAAATTTTATGTATCAAAAAAGTTGTAAACTTAATCCAGGTTGACAGTTGTTTTAACATCCAAATAAATAAAAAAATAATATCATCAAAATACCTCAAATTCAAGAATACAACTCTTGATTGTCAAAATAACTCTGATAAAATCTAAGAAACATAAACATTAGCAATTAGGTGTGGGTATTGCTAGAAATTTCATTGTACAATATTTACAATTGTATTGCAACATTATTGAAATATATTGCAAAAAATCTTTGCTTAACAAGGTTATATTATTTACTTACTCAATGGTCACAAAGGCATCACTTAGCTTAGGTTACAACATTTTATACCATTGCCAGACTGTATAATGTATTACATCAACCTATGTACAGCTTGATCCAACCAGAAAGCACCATACAACAGGGACTACTGTTATAATATGACATTTAGAGTGTTAGGACATCAATGGTTGAAGTGTTAATTGTATTTAACAGCAATATTTTTCGTCTCAATGTTATTATAAGCAGGTTGAAACTACTTTTATTGTCAGTATGTTTGGAGAGTGTTTGGGAACATAAACTATAACCTAATATAAGAGAAAAATGTATTGCTACAAATCAAATATGCCCCCAAAACAAAGCTCTTTCAAGTTTACCTTTCTTTAATCTGTAATATTGATAAATAAAGATTTTGTAGCTGTTGAGGCTATAAATTGAACACTGCATGGCATAAGCATAACATAGTAAACAAGTTGAAACTGCAGGAATATGGTCAAAAGATGATTGTAACTTTTGCTTGAATTGACAAGTAAATACATAGTTATACAATTCAAATTATTATTTTGGCAAATCTTTGGTAATAAAAAGTTTGAAAATGTTAAATGTGTATACTTTTTTCTTTTCCTGAGATTTATGTTTATTAATGAACATGCACTAAGAGCAGCACTTCATGATACCCACAAGAATCCCTATCAAAACAGGGAAGAGTTTTGGGTTAGAATATTACTGGGTGAAATATTACATTCTTATAGAAGACAATGCTAAATATATGATAACAATGTGATTCATTGTTATCACTATGGAAGTAAAATAAGTTATAATTTTCCTACACTGAAATTAGATTTCCAATAGATACCTCCTCTCACCACAAAAGCTTTTTCTGATCTTCATCTGCCCTCTAACGCATTAAAGAAATTTAATCTTGCTTGACTCATTGACCTTTATACCTCCTCAGTTCAAGCTACTAGCATGCAATGACTCTCCACTAATAGAATAATGACACGCACACACTCTTGGAACAACTGGCTTCCTCTGTATTACATTTCATGTACCTCACTTTCGAGATTAGGCACACCAGAAAATAGAAAAACACCGGAAGTGGGGAAGAAGGGTTGGAAGTATGAGAGGTAAGTATCTATTAGAAATCTATTTTAAGTGTAGGAATATGATAACTTCTGATACGATACATACTTCTGCTCACACAAAAGCTTGAATCCCACATTGAGTAGGTGAAGGGACCAGTGTAACAGAGAAGTAAGAGACTCCCTATGGAAATCATACACAGAGAATCAAATAGGTGTGCTCAGTAAGTAAACGAAAGTACACATGAGGGGAGACTTCACCACTTCTGGAGCAGGTATGCTCTTCACCCTTGAAGAGATGTGTCATGAAACAAGTGGCATCAAGGGCCAAACCAATAATGAAAGGCCTTGAAAAACATTGGAGCAAGACTCTCCCCAACCCTAACCGTACATACAAGGTTCCATGTTCCATCCTCAGTAATTATAAGTGGATGACATTGCCGAAGAATCAACTGATTATAGACAATGTAACGTGGGCAGGATGAGCAGGCCATGAACAATAGATATACACAAACCCCAACTGCAAGTAAACAGTGCCATATTGTAAGCAACTGGCAATCATCAGACAAACTTCTACATCAACCATAGGAGGTTAGAAGTATACCAAACTGAACCCAAAATTATGGGGCAGTGTGTGAATCTCAACTCAACCGTAAGAACAAGGATTCCACCTGTAGCTGATATTATGAGCATGAAAATAACAAGATCCACTCAACCATATGAGCATGGAAGAAAACCACATGCACCTGGAATTACGAGTATGATGTGGAAAATCTGCTCAACCATAGGAACAGGGTGTCATATATCCCACAACTGGCATTACGAGGTATAGAAAGTTCCCTGAGCTCAACTGTAGATGCAGGGAGAATCTACCAGAACTACTGAGAAGGGGGTCATATACAGATCTCAACCATAGGAACAGGGCACTATCAACCTAAGCTCAGTATTATGAGAAGAATCCAGCAGTGGCTGGTCCAGTCCCTCCCACATCAGACCTCCTGGAACAATAACCTAGGAGCGAGAAGTAGAGAGAGTTCCCATCATATGATGGTCCCTGTCTCACTACCAAACAACACTGGATTGATAGAAAGAAGGAAATTCAACCAGATGAACCAAGGAATCCAAGCAGAGATGCCATCCATTGAGGAATACCCATCAAAGGTAATGTGCAAGTGCCACGGATGGGCATGAGAGCAACCAATGAATCCCAAATCTCAAAAAGAGACAGAACCTCTTAAGGTAGCCAGGAAAGAGAGGACGGCCTTGAATACGAAATGCTTCATATCCCAAATACCGAGTAAAGAAGGAAGGGTCCAGTTGATGTTGGGAAGTGAAAAATAATACCCCAAGACAACCAAACACAGGAAAAAGAAAATCCCTCATATCAAAGAATCAAACCACACAATCTGCATCCTTCAGGAGCAAACTGATGTGCACTGAAGACAGGAAGTAGCTGGAAACAAGTAATCCTAAGAGAAAATGAGACTGGATGACTAACATAGCAAAGTTTGTGACTAATCACGAAAACACTGAAAGGATCTGTGGGAAACCCTAATGGAAGAGCCCAGAACAGAAAAATACACAAAGACACTCTTTACTGACAGAAAACAAACAAACTGGAATAAAGAATATGTCATGACAGATAAAATTTCAATAGAATTAAATAAATATAAATAGATCAAATTTAAATAAAGATTTAAAGTATTGTTACGACAGCGGAAGTCACGTGATGCTGGTGGTACGTCATGAGTTTCTAGAAGGATCATGACTTTTCTTGGCAACTCTAGTCGTTTCCAGGCACCCTCTATTTTAATATATAAGCCCGGCAAATAAAGTGGAGATAATTGCTGATAGACAGATATAGAGATAGATAATTGAGTCAAGTGAGCGGTAGTGACTGTAGGTAAAGTGCGTGAATCGTTCGTTGTGAATTATAGTGTGTGTTTAAGTTAAAATGACTGTGGAAATTCTGTGTATTGCAAAGTTGTATTGAGAAAGAATAAACTAGTTTTATTTAAGAAAGGACTTGTATCACTGAAGTTCCTCGGGAAGAATTTATACCAGAAATTCACAAACGACCAGATACGTAACAGAATAAGTTAAATACAGGTAAAGGAAAACTTTTCAACTTTGATCAATTTTAGTAAACACAGAAAAAAGAATAAAATGATGAAGTGACACTACAAAGATGTCTATTTTTTTCCAAAGTTGAAAGCAATCTCTTACGTCATGGTTATAGCTCGAAGATTAGTGGCATTTGCTAATTAATTAATACACACCTCTACAACCCCCTCACCCTTTTAAAGGCAAAAAAAAAGTGTGTTTGCATGAGTAACTTAGTAACTTTTCCAACCACTGCCTTATTCTGACATGGATTAACATTATTTTAACCCTTTTCATACGAGTCACAAGTCAAAGGCCATGTTGTTGTGTTTGTTGATTCGCATTCAAAATTTTATTGAACTACAATTTTATGTTATTAAGTTTGACATCACTCTGTAGAGTATAATTCCAATTTTAGTATTATACATTATTTAATTTCTTAATTTAAAAGTAAATTTTAAAAAGAACTATGAAATATTTTTATATTTACATTTTGAGAGAGTTCAAAAAAGTATCCTCTTTAAGTTATGCACTTATTGATTTCTTAAATTTTTTTTGCCCATTTCAAGCATAGGTTTATATTTACTAAAATACTGTCATTTAATGTTTCGTTTCTCACCTTTTTTTTTTACTTTATTTGCACAGCCTCTCACTTCCACACTTTCATGACCTCACAGAATGTGATGTGAACAACCATTAATGAAGCTCAGCTACAGATGAGGTTTAAATACTGTTGGATTAAGAACACTGTAAACTATTTACTTCAATGTAGGATGAATAGAGAGATGTGTGAAGTAATTAACCCTTTCGAGATGGGTCACAGGTGAAAGGCCGTCATTTTGTTTGTTGACTCGCATTCAAAATTTTATTAAACTACTATTTCATGAATTTTTGTAAATAAGTTTGGTATCAAAATGTATATTATAATCCAAATTTTAGTACTGTACATTACTCAATTTCTTAATTGAAAAGTAAATATTAAAAAAAAACAGTTAAACATCGATTTTTGTGTGTCATGTTGAATGCAGCACT